GGTAGGAAGGGGTCGTCCGCGATTGGGATGGAGAGAGCAGGTGGAGAAGGACAGGGTGAAATCGGGGTTGCGTGATACTGAGGCGAGTGACAGATGTGGATGGCGTCGAGGGGTATTTCGGTTTCATCATAGGTAGCCAAACGGCAACCCCCGATCTCGGGGAAAATGCCGTCTAAACGTGTGTTGTTGTTGTTTTCTTTTTTATTCATTCATTCATTCATCACTTTTAAATGCCCTTTTAAAGCTGAGAAGATAAAAAGTTTGCAAGTATGGAGCTCCATCAACAACTACAACATCAACAGCAGCAACGACCATGATGTCATCAACATTCTCCATCCATCCGGCCTGAAAATGCCTTTAAGAAAATCCAGTAGCAACAAATCTTTAAATAACTGCTGTTGACTTTTATTCATTATTTTAATTGTCTGTTCATGAATTCATTCTACTAATCATTTACTCGTTAATTCATTCACTAATTCATTCATTAATTCATTCGCTCATTCATTCAACAACATCAACTTTATTTCCCATCTAGTTCATTCATCGTCCAAGTCCATTTTTACAATGCTTAGTTTTAAAAAACTATTTTGACAAGTCCTTTCTTCAACTGCATTTCGTAGTCTGTGTAAATATATAAATACATACACACCCATACGCAAACACGCACACACACACACACACACGTAAGACTTTGTAGTTTGTAGTGTAAAAACGTTCAATAATAATTTGATACGATCACCTGATCATGACGTTGCCTTATTCTAATGTATAATAATCACACTGCATAACATTGTGCCTTCGCTATTTTATCCTGGATGTTTCTTTTTGTATTGTTTTTATTACAGTTTATAGATTTTTTTATTATAGATGTTATATTCATTCGCTATCCTGTTCCCTGTTCTGTGAATCACCTAACCCAGCAAGACCTTAAGACCCTAAAAATATATTATTTAGTATTTCTATTTTTTTCTAACATTTTATTCAATCAATCTTTAGCGTCCAGAGACCCAGTTCCCGAGGTAGAACATATATATTTTCTAATATATTATTCTTTATAATTATTCATAAATTTTAATATTTTATGTTTGTTGTATTTGTATGTAATTTGTTCATTTCATTCCGTTGTTGACTAGCGTTTTCATTAAATTTGCTATTGTTAATTTATGTTGAGGGCGAGGTGTAAGATGTTTTATAGAAACTTTTGTATCATGCATCTATCTAAAGTTTTTGTCAAAATCTTTTTGATATATATATATTCATATATTTATATATATATATAAATTTATATTTATATACAGTATTGTATGAATTCTGAGAATTACTGAGAATTGAAAAGACAAACTTTAAATTGCTTAATGCCAACAATTCGGTAGAATTCATACAATACTGTATAAAATATGGTCTCCTTCCAATATATATATATATATATATATATATATATATATATTTATATATATATATATATATATTTTGGTAACAGACTATTGTTAACGCAACATTTCAAAAATTCAACACTACTTTCAACATTGTTCAACTTTTTCATATTTCTTTTTAATTTATTAATTTCCGAGAAATTAGACATTTTATTGTTTTTTCAAAAAATTTTTATTAAATAAATTTACAAATAGCTATTTCGAGTT